TAACGTCGCAGAGCAGACTACACACAAGTTTTATCACACAAGATGGAATCATTGGCCTTCCTGAAGCGGTTTTTGTGTTAAATATGAAACATAAACCTTGTTTAATATAAATTAGGTTTCGCGACTGCCAGTAAATCTTGAACAAGAGCTCCAGTTGCCCTGGGCCGAATTGGGTGACTAAAGACGGATAGTTGAATTTTCACACAATGTTATCAGTCGGCCTCCCGTTCGAATTGAATTTTACCAGGTATATCCTTCCAAAGAGTATTCTTATCCGGGCTGGACTAAAATCTTTACTCCGGCTTAACCTCATCAGCACCCTCAATGAGATTAAAATCGGGATAATTTAAAGTATACTTTCTATATTGTTGGGGGGACTTTCATTTTGTATGAAAGTGCATGAAGAAGAGATTCGTAAATTTGATTTACTAGATACCGAAGTAGGATGGTTCTACAGTCGATATGTCCAAGGAGTTATTTGAAAAAGGAAATAAGCTTTAGTTTTATGCTAGGGTCTGTCTAAGAACAATTTTTCGCCCTTTTATATATGAAGAAAAGCTGAATTTCTAAGGACCCCCTAATGAATTAGCGTAATCCGAGATTTTATTCCATTGGATAAATTGGTTGGAAGGAATTCGTGAATCGGCCTCACTGCAAACCTTAGGAGGATTGCTTTAGATGGGAGGACGCTGGATTGTGCGAAAAAGTCCTCAACTTACTAGAATGTGGCTCCGATGAATCTGATGAGTCTTCGTCTGTCAAGTGACGGATATTATCATAGCGAGAAACCATAATTTACGAAAAGGTTTATCAAATCATTTAATAAAAATAGCCAAAAAAAAGTATATGAAGTGAATAGGTTTGCAGTCGGCTACCTTTTCTTTTAGTGCACTTTTTAGTAAAGTTTACCTTCTTACTCAAAAGATGCTTATCATGGCGGTACAGACGTAATCTTAACATGAGATTTCAAGAAGCTGAGCCAAGGACTGGCCCGCGAAATCCGATACCCTCCGCTTCACGGCAATCCTTTTCAGTTTGCGGTAAAAATATGTTTTTAAACCAACTTTTTCTTTGAAATGCTAAGTCGATTAACACAGTTTATCTTTATACCAGATAACATTTTTATACAGTTGACTGACATTTTAATCCTGTCAGAAGAAATGTGACGTGAATAATGCCTTTCAAGGTTTCAAGAATGTCGCTGACTGTATCAGGCGAAATTGTGTATGTAACATGGTGGCAGTTCAAGACTGAAGCGACTAGGTTTTGCTACCAACCACGTGGCTTGCACAGATGCTGCCTTGGTCTATCGATATAAGTATTTGGCAGAACTTTACTGCTCTCGCGTCGGCGACGAAACTAGTGGTACTTATGTGCATATGCTTACGTAGGCATTTGAATGTGGGGTTACGGTACCGGCGAACCCTTAGCTACGGTTGAATAGGGTTGTATGAAATAAAACAGACCAGAAGTGCATAGTCGCAACTGGTATCTCCACACGGATGTAAGGATTTCATGAACAAAAAGGTTTCAGGAAACGCATATAAACCGGAAATAAGGCAGGTAATTGTAAAGTTGGGAAAGAGATAGAAGAGCATAAGAAGGAGTATACTGCAACGCATATCTGGAGGCCTGAAAATTAGCAATTTCCATTAGTGAAGATTAAAATAAATCAAAATCAGCCGAAATTTTAGAGGGTACAACTACTTTGCCTAGTCAGCTACCAAACAACTGTAGACCGAAAATTCAAGGAAAGCCCAAATGTAGACCTTGTGTGAAAAGTGGATTAAATTAAAAATTAATAAGTGTTAAACATAAGTCTGATAATAGATCAAAGTTTTTAGTGAATTTGTTTGCCTTGCTCCCTTCAAATGAGACTGAAATGACGGCTTGCCTTGGCTTCCTGTTTGCTTTATTACTTATCCCTGGGTTTGGAGACATACTCTGTCAATGCATTTTTTCACCGTTCGTTTCCTGTCGTCTTTCCCATTTCTGCCAGCTTTAACAGCATGTGGTCGACCAGATCCGCCCCAGCAATTGAGTGGTGCACCTTCTTGTTTATGTCGATGGGAAAATCAAGCTTAGCAAAGGTGAGGGTACTTCGATTGCAGGTGTGATTGGCAAAAAGAAAAGGGCTGGTCCAAATTGTGTAGTAAATAAGTTGTGTATGGGCTGTAGCTGGTAGGATTGATAACACCGAAGCTGGCTGAATGTCGGTGTGTTGCCTTGACACCCTTTCTTGACAGGCGTCTTCGCAGACGCCTTTTAGAAATGCAAGAACAATATGGCAAATATGGTGACTCGTGATAATTTCGAAATAAGCCCAATAAGCCCATTTCATGTAAACACAACTTAGAGTAGTCATAAGGATGGCTAGGGCAGCTAAAGGTAGTCTGTCAGGAACCGCTTAACCTGTCAGCATGACAAGTAGCCCTAAAAAAGGTATAAAGGTGAACCAAGTGGTCGCTAAGAGTTTGCAGGTGCGAAGAATATTTAGAGACTCTAATGAATCGGATTGTTTTGCTACATTTATTCGGGGAATGACAGGGTTTAGATGAATTTCTTAAGACAACATTGTTGTGGAAAGTTTTATTTAGTATGAAGGTTGACGATAAAGAGATTATTTGATTGATCTTACCGGAATATGACAAATGATGACCGTTGTTCTGTAGGCGTTTTGCTTTAATACGAAGTTCAATTTTGATGCAGTTCACGAGACACTCTCTCGCGTTTAGGTGGAATGCAGGTCTAGCTTTAGCTTTTGTGTTACTTGACGGACATCGTCAGAGCTGGAACTAATTCCTACAAAAGCCTCATATTTACAGTAAATCAGACGATAATTTGGTTCTGTATTGCATGCTATATATGGGCATCAACAAGGGCAAAAGAATAGATGGATAGCTATGATAGATATAGATAGTTATATATGCACACATAAGTGCTCCCGAAGTTAGATATATATACACATTCATATATGCATACATACATACATAAATACATACATACATACATACATATATATATATATATATATAGAAATGCATACATACATGCATATAAATGAAATGTTTAATTAGTTCTTTTTCAGATTAATCATGGTACATATATTTGAGTTCATACTGATGTGTGCGTGTATGCGAGTGTTAACATTTGTACTTATCTAAGTCGGACTACCCATTATCGATCATACCTTAGAGAATTTAGAAAAAAGCTTGGTGATTCAAGGAAAAGCATGTTCAAAATTGTCTAATCCCGAAATGAACGCTAATTGAGAGGATAAGATGTAAACTCATTAGTGTGTTAGTCTACGAAACAACCAGTCACAACCCATCGATATGAGGCCATTAAGGATTAACTTACTCAGCAAAAGCATGACTGGGATTGTGTAATCTCGTACGCCTGGTTAGGCTGATGAGCTTGATTGGCGCGTTGAACGAATGTGAATATGGCTAGAACCATCACGGAAATGAAAAGTTAATTCGCCTTTTTTATGTCGTCATGGGGAATGAAAATTCACTGATGTTCCGCCCAGGATTAGAAAAAATGACCAGAAAAAAGTGCCGTTATCTATCTTTAGCTTTATGGACCGATAAGTAAACCTTTTGAAAACAGATGAAAAGGTATTGAAGT